CCTATATCACAAGAAACAATTAACACCAAAATTAATAACACCGTGGCTGAAATTTCACAAGAAATCAATCAACCCAAATCAACCTGAACAGTTCGTACAAAAGTAGAAATTGGACAATGTCAATATGTTTGTCTACAACACGCAATATTCTAAGTAAATTATGGTACAATATTTTATAATCACTTTTCATTAACATTTTATCCCGATAAAAAAAGATAAGCTCAAAACTCGACATTTTACTTCTGCCCATGAAATCCAAGGACCTAAACAAGAATCACCCAAAAAACTTTGATTGAGGGAAAAATATATTGCTCATGAGGGAGCCAGTACCCAGCATAACTGAAACACGAATCCCAGCATTCAGTGCCATAAATAATTAAGTCAAAAGCACTTATTAAGAGTTACACGCGGAGACAGAACTAGCATCTTGTATATTAGCAAGCAGAGAAGTTAATAGATACCCATGGCCATATGCAGGTGGAGCCCTTGGTGCAGATTTCTCTGCCATCGTAACACTGATTTTGTAGCCCCTCAAATCAAAATCTGAAATGGAGGGATTCATGATTAGAAAGAAGCATTAAAGATACATTAATAACACCAGATTATGCAAGATATAGTACTATTGTAAAAACCGCCAGCAGCGTGTGCTGCAGAGGGATCTTCATATGCAAGACAAGCATCACCCTTGTTGTTTCCATTCTCATCTGTGTATATTTTTATGTTCCAAGGCCACTGATCTTTATAACCCCTCTTCTGCTTTATTCTTCCAACCTAAAATAAAGTGCAATATTACCAAGAGGAATTACACTTACAAAAACCCATATTTGCAGCATTTGCATAAAAAACTCAAAAATATTAAACCCCCCCCCAAAAAAAAAAACCAAACAAACACAGCACCCTGTACGTCATATAAAATCCAGGTGTACGATAAAAACCATAAAACCATGCATGAAAATAAAAAGATAACGTGCACTTTACTCTCAAGAGAGCACTTGAATTAAAATGAAAAAAAAAAAAGCCCTCTGAAAATGTAAAAAACCGGTCTTCCCATACAATGAACTTGTGCAGAAATCAACAGATGAGAACATTACTTGTCCAATGCCTCCAAACAGTTCCCTCAATTCTTCAATAGTCACATCAGGTGGTAAGTTCGATATGTAGATTCTAGAGTTGTCGCAAGAATCCCCACAATTTTCATCACACTGCTTCACTTTAGCCGGGGGTTCGGGGGGAGCTCCCACCAAATCCACCTTTACTACCAGGACCATGACCACCATCATTCCCACCTGTATTACCCCCATAGGATGGAGGGTATGATGTGGGTCCACCAGTATAGCTTGAAGGTGGAGGAACTGCATCGGATCCATAATTTGCATTCCCACCATAAGAATCATATGTGGGTGCATAGTTTCCACCAGTACCACCGTAAGACTGGGCTGTAGGATGACGACCTTGAGCGAATGCACCATCTTCTCTGGCTTGGTTACCACTAAAAGAACCGCCCCTATTGCCTCCTCTACCATCATTGTTATAATTCCTACCGCTGTCATAGTCGTTACCTCTTCCTCCTTCGTAATTACCACCAGATCTACCGCCTCGATTACTGCCATAATCCCCCACCCCCAGCTCTTCCTCCCCTATCATAACCCCCACTGCCACCTCGTCATCATTAGCACCAGAAGGGGATGGTGCACCACATTTGTTACATTCAACCCTTCTCGCAAAGTTCAAATTACCACAACTATAGATAGCAATTTTCAATCAAATACAAAATTGTAAGAGTCAACAGATGAAATCCCCAGCTGTAATTATTACAAAAAAAGAAAAACATTTCACAGAAATGCAACAATTGCGAGGCAAATCAAAGTAAAGAGTCACAAACCTTGGGTTGGGGCAACGCCAATCTCCTTCTCTACCACCTCCACCACGTCCGCCCTCTGCCTCCTCCCCGTCCTCCACGATCTCCGCCTTGATATCCCCCACCACCACCTGCAAATCAAGTAATTAGGACATGATCGAGCTGAAAATTGACAAAGAAACAAGCAAGAATGCAAACCTCGACCACCGTATCCTCCATCTCCCCCACCATAACCCCCATTCCCTCGACCACCTTGTCCTCCCCCACTTCCCCCTTCCTCCATAACCCCCGCCATCATTTCCTCCATACACACTCTTCCCTCCATAACCTCCGCCATCGTTACCACCATATCCACCACCAGCGGTACCCTTTCCACCATAACCCCCACCATCATCCCCGCCATATCCACCACCAGCGCTGCCACCTCCATAGCCTCCGCCTCCATAACCACCTCCTTGATATCCTCGTCCTCCTCCTCCACCACGACCACCTCCATAACCTCCTCCTGAAGCACCATACCCACCGTTAGCCCCATACGGCGGAGGCGCAGAGCCGCCACCTTCTTGACCGTAGAACCCAGACATAGTCCGATCTAGGGTTTGCTAGTACCGGAAGGGAGATTAGATTAGAACATGAGATATTTTGGCGCCATAAGAAGTTGAAGTACTAGTAGTATTTTTCTCGTTCCCTGAAAAGCACAAAGACTTTGGTCCTAATTATTTCCCGTAGTCAGTGCGAACGGGCCCCCATCGCTTTTTTGTTACCCCTTGCCGCCAAAAAGATCTCAATTCGATAAATAAATGAAGGGAAAATATGTTTTTTAATAAAAGCAAAACAAGCCTGATAAGGGCCTAGGGAATTGACCCTAGGGAAATATTTGCGGAGAGCATTGGGTGCTCATCGTTTTGATGAGCACCCAATGCCATCATCACCGTCCAGATCTGATCTGGACGGTCCAGATGAATTTTATTTTATTTTTTTTTTTAAAAATTATTTAATAAAAGGTATAAGATAAAAAAAAACTATAATCCCTCAACGCATTCATTAAAAATTTTTTTCTATTTTAAAATAATATATTTAAAATATTGAATATAATGTTCAGATTTGGACGGACCCCAGGCTCTCAGTGATGAGCAAGCGGTTGATCACCTGATGAGCACTGTATACGACCCAAATTTGTTTTAATGAAAGGCACAGTCCTATCCGTGGCAATGCTTGAATTGTTGATGTTGAAAGCCATTCGGACAAAAATATTTTTGCCGTAAATGTATGGAAAATTTGAAGGTTTGTTTGGTACGGAAAAAAATGAAGAGGAAGGAAAATTTTTTTAAATAAATTTAATTTAAAAAATTTTAAAAATAAAGTTAAAAACTTTTAATTAATTTTTCTTACTATTTTATTTTATATATTTTTGAATCAAAAGACTTTTCTAATTTTTTAAATCAAACTTATTAAAAAAATTTCTCACTCCTAATTTCCCCGTTCCAAGCATAAAGTAAGCAAGAGAAGTTGACTAATGAGCCCGGCAAGCAAAGATCTGAGAAAGGAAAATGAATCTAAATGGAAAGATTGATGCAATTTTAATTGTTAACTTCGAGTTTAAATAATACCTAACCACCTCTTTTGTCGGGACTATTCCTTTCTGGCCGCGAGTAGAAACCAGAAAACTGGTGCGCGCATGTGTAGCAGCAGTAAGAGCCAGGAAGAAGAGTGAAGAAGGGCTACGTGGAAAGTAACTACACTACAGGGAAAATCAAAGCTCAGAATCTTATAAATCCGAGCTAGGCCGGGCTTCATGATGCCTCATGCCATTCCTGGACGAATTGTCCTGACAACTACCTCAAGAGTGACGAACATGGTTATTGATTCTTGTTTTTTTTAAGTTTCAAATTATCTGTTTCCCTTCTCCCTTCCCCTCTGTTAATCTTGCTTAGTGCTTATTACGCTTTTTACAGATGGTAATTGAGTAATCATAATTTTGTGGTCCATAATTAAACAGGCTAGAGGGAAGAGGAAGCACTTAAAGAGGCTCAAACTCCCAAACACTGGATGCTTGACAAGCTTGGAGGCGCTTTTGTACGCAAAAGGCTTTCGTCTTTTTATTGTGTAGTGCAGTCTTCTTCAGACTTAATGAGAAACTTAATACGACTCGTCTTCTTTATATGCAGGCTCCCAAGCCATCTCCTGGACCTCACAAGCTAAGGAGTGTGCCTCCCCCTCATCCTTATCCTCCGAAACAAGCTTAAATATGCACTCACATATCGCGAAGTCATTTTAATTCTCATGCAGCGACATGTTCTTGTTGATGGAAAAGTCAGAACTGATCAGAAGTACCCTGCAGGCTTTATGGGTATATTTTCCTTTCCTCCAAATTATACGCATATATATATATATATATAAGAGTTGCATCATCAATATATAAATTCATATTGTGCGGGCGCGTAATTTTTCAGACGTTGTATCCATTCCAAAAACGAACGAGAACTTCAGACTCCTCTATGATGTCAAGGGTCGTTTTCGCTTGCGATCAATAACAGAGGACGAGGCAAAGGTTGCTTCTTTAACTTACCGCTATTTGTGAATATAAGTCACTTTATGATACATGTTAATACTGTCAGTTCCTTCATATAGTTCAAGCTCTGTAAGGTGAGATCGGTGCAGTTTGGGAAAAGGGGTATTCCCTATCTGAACACATACGATGGACGAACCATCAGATATCCTGACCCGCTTATCAAAGCTAACGACACCATAAAACTTGACCTAGACTCCTACAAGATCACTGACTTCATAAAGTTTGAAGTTGGAAATGTTGCGATGGTGACGGGGGGAGGAACAGAGGACGAGTTGGGGTTATAAAGAGGAGGGAAAAACATATGGGCACCTTTGACACCATCCATGTCCAAGATGCTGTTGGGAACGAATTCGCTACTCGTTTGGAAAACGTTTTCATTATTGGTCAGGGCTCAAGACCATGGGTCTCTTTACCCAAAGGAAAGGGAATCAAGTTGAGTATCATTGAAGAAGCTAGGCTCAGGCGTGAGGCAGAAAGGGCTTCCTCAGCATGATATCTATAATCATCATTAATGATTATTTCCACGTACTTGTATACTATCTTGTGTGTGTTCATGCAATGACTCGCTAGTTTGTATTTCGCATCATCGATCATCTCATAATAGAATACTATGTATCTTGTTCTTATCATAGGTTCTATGATCTACTGGTTCTATATGAAGAAGCTCACCAGGATCCATGGTAAGCTTAATGTAACCAATTCCAACAGGGAGTAGAAGTATGCATGGAGAAAAGAGACATGTCTTCATTAAAAGGGAAAGGCATCGGAGGAGAAGTAGGCCAGGTTTATAAGTGTAGATATGTGTTATGCAGCTGCCACAGCTTCTTTGAGCAGCATCTGATCAAAGTGCCAGACACCTGCAAGCCCACCAACCAATTACCGTAATTTATGAAGCAAGAAGTGTGTGTACAAATTAATTAGTGTGGTTAATGACTCAAGCAATTACCATGTCCTTTGCCCACCCTTCTTAACTGAGCCACATATTCTGAGATCTTCTTGATGGACTCAACCTGAAGCCGAACGAAAATAAGGAAGATAACAATCGTCTTTTGATAAAATGATCTTTCCGATGTCATGACAACAAGAATCACAGGATGTTGCTTTACCTGATCGGCAAGAAACTCGCTTTCAATAAAATCAGTGAGCTGCGCATCATTGTTCTCATTTGCCAACTGCGTTAGTGATATAAAGTCCATTTTGAGCTGCACCGTCTTATTGGGTGGAAAATTAACAGTAATCTAAAAAAATCTATATAATAAGTTTAATTTGGGCTGGGAAATTTGCCTGGTGTAGATCAAGAAGCTTCCCATTGTTCAACTTTTTCAAAGACAATGCAAGTTCCATTGCTGCAGGACGACAGGGCATCCAGTATCAGCATTTAACAAGTCAAAAACCACGACTCCGAACGCGCATGGTTCCAGAAATTCAGGAACAACCGAAAGCAACAAATACACTAAACTAAACTATCACATATAACTCTCATAGGCGATGCTCGCATCGAGAACTTCTCTGATAAGAACAAAATACAACCAACTAGTTGTTGGTTAAACACAAATTCAAAGGGAGGGTGTTAATCTTAACGCTCTCAGGAATTAGCCTCAAGTCTAATACTCTGAGTTATATTAAAAAAAAGAAAAAAGTACAAGCACAGCACAACAAGATTTCAGAAGTTGAACGTTTAGATGGCCGGAACCGGAATGAATTATTATGCCATAGAAGTTGAAGCACCCTCCAGAAGCTCCAGACAAATAATTCGTATTTAGATGGAAAAAAAAAATATTGATGAATTTGGCAAAATAAAAAATTATTCACCAGCATCTCGTGAGTTGCTTTAAATGTCAGAGTTAATCTCCAGAGTCAGAATAAAAGGCATTGCCCCACATCTTACCATTTAATGCATCGCCCTTTCAATATGATCATATTCTGACAAAGGCATCAGCAGTGACTGCAGCTTAACTCTACCTCCTCTTATATTCTGGTAATTATCAGAAAGTAAATTTAATAATATGAACTTAAGATTAAACGGAAAAGAAATAATAGTGAGTTAGGAAAATTAATGCATTGCAAAGCAACAAACACCTGGTATTTCCATCAATTTCTCAGCATGCTGTCTCTCTTCCACACTTGAATCCTTGAAAAATCTACAAACGTTGCGTGTAATATACTAATTTATCAGTAATCAACTTACAACCAAATTCGACGAAGGAACTTAGGATTCATACTTGGCTAGTCCCTTGAGAGCGATATTATCTCGGTCAAAGGCATGCATGGCATGATACACGTAGGAGATACTGTATTCCACACTGATTCAAAGAAAGAAAAGCTGCAATGAGATACTTGCAGAACTAAGAACATGTATCCACCTCGAGTAGACACAAAGTGAAAACAGCATGTTGCAGTTTAAACCTGAAGAGGCAAGTAAATGGTCGAGAACCATCTTTTACAATCGTTACTAAAATTGTCAGCATGATAAGGACTATCAGAGCTCTCTCTGATCATCTTAACTAGATAATAATGGTTAAGAAAAGCAGGATGCTGTGCCTGTTTGCAGGTACTTATTACTTACCAAATTACCGATTATTCCTATGAGGATAGCCAACTTAGCCTCAACACTAAGAACCGAAAGGACGAATGAATGACTCAGAAAGTCGGAGGGCGATTGAACAGAGACTCCGTGAAGAGAGAATAAATGTAACACAGTAAAAACAAACGATGAAAATCAGATAGCAGTGCATGACGGTTAAAATGAAGGATAGCAGCACGCAACTAATAATACAGACAAAATTTAACATAATAAGAATGTGAAGCTCACTTGATCTGTTCATTGAGGGCGTCCCACACTGCTCATTGTACTGCTGACGAGCCAGT